TCCAGTGTCTGCTGTAACGCATTAAAACTTTTTGGAACAACATATGCTGCCTTCTAGACCAGGGTTCTCAGCCTTTCCCAAAGCCCACCTGTGCATAACTATAAAGCCCACAGAAAAACTAAAATCAAGTTTTTTTACTAGCTTTTTTTCTTAATTGCTCACACTGAAAGCCTGTGAATTGGGGCCTGAAAAAGATCAGTCCCATTTCAGTTTAATCACAGAAACCAAAATTTGCAGTTACGTTAAAAAAACATGACATGTTCAAAAACCACACGTTTGCAAAGATGTCAAAAAAGGGGAAAAGAAATAAAGGATGATATAGACGTGGACTTTGATTTGGAGCTGCAGCCCATCGCATTTTCACTGGAAACACTCTTGTGGCTCCCACAGGAGTCACTGTTTGGTCTCTTTAGTTTTGAGGGTTTTAGCACCTCATGTTTTAGATTAGCGTTGTCACAGTCAACCATAATAACAGACCTCAATAGATGTCACAAATGTTGTGGATGAACTCTTTAGTGTCTGACTTGTTTCACCCCAGTCTCAGCTGAGTAATACCTCCATAAGAAAAGTGTGAGATCTTATCGTTCTCTTATGCAGCTCTGTTCTAGATCACAGAACCCTCTCAGCAGTCTGTCAGTGCAGAAAGAGAACTCATGCTTTTCTCCTTCATCACCAGAAGAGACACTGATGTTAATCTCCTCTTTTCTCCTGAGGAGGTTCAGGAGGAACAGTTCAGAAATCAGTCATCCTTCATTAATATAATACTGAGATCAGCTTTATTTCTCTGAGAAAAGCTTCTTTGTCATTAGTTTATCAATTAGAGTTTAACGACTCAGGTCGCTGATGCTCGGCCAATAATCAAACACATCTCTTCACTATTATTTTATGGCTCATCTGTCATTTTTATCAGCTGCAGCTTGAGCTGCAGGAACGACATGAGAGTCTGTAAAGAGTCAGACGTTAAAACAGGCAGATTATAGTGACAGTATACAGCGCTGATGTGCTGCTAGAAGAGGAAAGCTGGCTCTGCTGATTAATCTGCTGATTGATCCCCCGAATACAGGCCAACAGACCACTAGAGGGTGCTTCACAGGCCCACTGGTGGTCCGCGGCTCGCAGGTTGAGAAACCCTGTTCTACACCATGTCTTTTTCCTGGACGTCTAAGCTTATTTCAAAATCCCAACATGAAGTCACATTCTGCATAACAGCATGGCTGTGTAAACAGAAAGTGTGTGTGCTTGACTGCTAGTGTGTCACGCCATGGAAATGCACTTGTGAAATGTGTAAACATGAATGGAGATTAAAAATGTGCATTACATGTGAAAAGTCCAAATGTGTGAAAAATCCAGTGACTGGGGTGCAACCTGTGTCCCACTGATACTACATTTAACAGTATATATGTCAAAAGACATTCTAAAGACAGATAAAATGTCCTTCACAAAGATTAATAAGTAGTTTCAGATAAGTAACTTGAAACATTAATCTACAGTACTTAGAATACCCACCATCACTGCACTTTATCTTCAGATATAATCATCAAAATAGTTCAGAAACTGTTTATTTTTGCATTTTCCCAGAGGAAAAAAATCTTTCTTAAGATTTTCTCAGAGAAATAAAGCAGATCTCAATATTATTTTAATGCAGGATTATTGATTTCTGAATTGTTGCTCCTAAACCCCTTTTATCGCACATCTTGCACGTCTGGACACTCCACCCCTAAACACTTTAGACACTTATTTATTCAGTATTGTCATTATATGCTGTTACCTGCGCGTCCTTGTACAGTCATTATTGCATCTAGATCAATGATCTATCTATCTATCTATCTATCTATCTATCTATCTTAGGAGAAAAGAGGAGATTAACATCAGCATCTCACAGTGAGAAGTTCTGGTGATGAAGGAGAGAAGCGTGAGTTCTCTTCTGCACTGACAGACCGCTGAGAGGGTTCTGTGATCTAGAACAGAGCTGTATAAGAGAACGATGAGATCTCACACTGTTCTTATGGAGGTGTTACTCAGCTGAGGCTGGGCTGAGACGAGTCAGACTCTAAAGAGTTCATCCATATGTGGGACCACATTTTGATCAAAGTGAGAAAATCTGAGTTTTATTTCTCAGGAGCCGAATTTCAGAATCAGGAGAAAACGGCTTCAGTCTCACTCTGATCCAAAACTGGACTGAACTGTGTCCAGGAGAAGAACCTGAGATCAAGAGGAGATTCATTTAGAATATTTCTTTCCTCTGGGAATGTATGTGAGTCAGTTTAGCATCTCACTCTCAAAACACCATTTTTCATGAGTCATGATATATTTGGAACATTCATCGTCTGAATTTCACGCTGATCAGAGGAACATGTGCTCAACAACGCTCTCATTCTTTATGTCTCTTTATTTTCAGTGATATTGTGATGTTGACTGGCGATGTCAGCTCTGTTGCCCTAATTACAGGATGAATGATGATTATTAATTAGAAAAATAAATATTAAGCAAATTATTAGAATGTCCTTAAAGGGGAATTCCACAGATTTTCCAAAATCACTGCATAATTAACTGATTGAGATGATGTAAACAGAGTCGTTCAGAGTGGTTTGGTGTGAAACGCTCTGTTCTAGAGAAACTTACCGAGTCAGAACTGTTCACAGTGGTGGTGATAGGAACCAGACGTCCACCTCTAAAAGCTCCCTCACAGAAAGTTACTACATGAAATGGTTATGAATTCACTGCCTGATGACTGAGACACTGTTTTATGATAGTTTAGAGAACTTAAACTCCATTCATGGTGAAGGGATACATGCAGGGTGCTGTGAGGCAAAATAGTCCCCAAAGAAAACGTATTATTCCAGATTTTCCACTATTTTCCCATCATCAACATTCCATATAAACTCAGAAGACTCGTGTAGGTTCACTGGTGGTTCTGGATAGTAAATAAAATGTCTATATCTGTGTTGTAGTCATGGCGACCCCTGGTTCCTATCACCACCACTGTAAAGACATCTGAACCATTTCACACCAAACCTCTCTGAATCTCTCTGTTTACGTCTCACACACTGAGTTATCTTCCTGTTTGGTTAAATGCATGATGTTGAAAAATGGTCATTACTGGAATATATGTGACTGTTTACACATATGGAAAAAAATATATGGACATATATGAATTTATATTTGAACTACATATCAAATACATTGCAGGCCATTCTGAAATACATTCCAAACACTAAAATATATTTCAGAATATATCACCATGTTAAGCAAATATATTTTAAAATGCATTTATTTTAAAATGTATGGGGAAATATTACACATAGAAATGTACCATACAAAAATAAATGTATGTAAGTGTGTTTATCAAAAATTGATAGTGGAACTTCCCTAGTAGGGGTGGGCAATATGGCAAAAATATTGTGATACTTCAAGATATTTCCACCATATTGAGAAATTATATAGTTTAAATAAAAATAATATCAAAGCGGTGCATGCAATTATACAACCCCATTTCCAAAAACGTTGGGACGCTGTGCAAAATGTAAATAAAAACAAAATTCAATGATGTGCAAATCATTTAAATCCTATATTTAACTGAAAATACTACAAAGACAACATATCAAATGTTGAAACTGAGAAATTTTATTGTTTTTTGAAAAATATTTGCCCATTTTGAATTTGATGCCAACAACACATTCCAAAAAAGTCGGGACGGGGGCCTGTTTACCACTGAGTTTCATCACCTCTTCTTTATCAACACTCTGTAAGCGTTTGGGAACTGAGGAGACACTGCTGTAGTTTAGAAAGTGAAATGTTTTCCTGTTCTTGTTTGATACAGGATTTCAGCTGCTCATCAGTTCAGAGTCTCATTTGTCATATTTTTAATTTCATAATGCGCCAAATGTTTTCAGTGGTGACAGGTCTGGACTGCAGGCAGGTCAGTTTAGTGCCCGGACTCTTTTAATACGGAGCAATGCTGCTGTAATACATGCAGAATGTGGTTTTACATTGTCTTGCTGAAATAATCAAGAGCTTCCCTGAAAAAGACGTCGTCTGGATGGCAGCATATGTTGCCAAAACATGTATATATCACTCAGCATTAACTTCTGTTGCCCCGTCCCAACTTTTTTGAAATGTGTTGTTGACATCAAGTTCAAAATGGGCATATATTTTTCAAAAAACGATAAAAATTCTCAGTTTCAACATTTGATATGTTGTCTTTGTACTATTTTCAATTAAATGTAGGGTTTAAATGATTTGAACATCATTGCATTTTGTTTTTATTTACATTTTGCACAGCATCCCAACTTTTTTGGAAATGGGGTTGTGTTCATTTAGCATTTCACACATTGCACTGAACAGATAAACAGGGCTAATTTTGCTCTCTTTGTAATGAAACCTGCAGTTATTCAGATAAATATTATCATTTTGTCCACCTTACAGCCAAAAACAGTGTTTTTTTCAAAAATTATTTGAAAATGTGTGAAAGTATCCAGAATCCTGTCTGATGCTCTTCACTGTCTGAAATGAATTTGTGTTCCAGTATCTTCATTTTAAATCTGATCTAATGATCCTTTATCAGGACAGAAGCGAGTGTTGTGGGTATTGATACTCTGTGAAAATGCAGTTATGATCTGATATCTTGTTTATGTGAAATACATTGTGTGTGAGAGTCTGACTGCAGACGTACATGGTTAATGTAAAGTACAGTGCAGATCACAGTCAGTACGTTTAGGTACATCTGGAACCTTCATTACACAAATCTGTTTTAAATATATTTAACAAATATGTTTTTGGCCGTTTTCATACATTGCAAAAATATATCTGATAAATACATTTGGGATATATTTTTTCCATATGGCTACATGTGAAATTGGTGTGATCAGTGTGGGCTGACCCTCAGCAGGCCTTCAGAGTGAAGGGGGGGTGGACTTCTCCTGTAAAAGTCACAGCCATTTTTTTCCCCAGAAATTTGACACCAGGCGGTTTGTTCAGCCCCTCTCAGCCTCTGCGCTCTCATTCCTCCACAAGCCTGCGTCCGATTAGCGCAGCCCAGGCGAACCAAGCTCACCTAAAAGCTTCATTTCGGTCAGAAAGCTGAACTCAGAGCGTTGCTGACCGGCTGAGGAGCTCACGAGACAGACAGTCTGCGAGCCTCGCGCCTCCTCGGATGCAAAAGTCAGCGCGAGCTCCACAGCCGCCTGCGCTCTCGTGCTCTTTGTGTTCATTCTGCCTTGCCTTGGCGAGCCGCGTCGCGCGCTGCAGGGCGTTTTTCCTCCGCGCGCTGCGGGGATAATGTGAAGAGGCGCTGTTTGGAGGAGAGGGTTTCTGTTTATTCTCTGGTCAGTGAGGATGGCGAGTTTTCTGCAGCGCGCGCTGCTCCTGGCTGCTCTGTCTGGATTTCTGTTCTTCTGCGCGCCCTCAGGAGCTCACGCGCAGGACGAGGAGGATCAGAGGTCCTGCCAGGGCGCCTTCGACCTGTACTTCGTCCTTGACAAGTGAGTGAGAGGCTTTTACAGCTGTTTCTAACCTCTCTCTCTCACTCTCTCCCTCTCTCACTCTCCCTCTCTCCTCTCTCTCTCTCTTTCTCTCCCTCTCTCCCTCTCTCACTCTCTCTCTCTCTCCTTCTCTCTCTCCCTCTCTCTCTCTCCCTCTCTCACTCTCTCCTTCTCTCTCCCTCTCTCTCTCTCTCTCTCTCTCCTTCTCTCTCTCTCTCTCTCTCTCTCCTCTCTCTCTCTCTCTCTCTCTCTCTGTGTGTTGTGAAGACTCTGCATCTGGTTTTGTGCTTTGTTGGCTTGTTATGCTCAGCGTTTCCACTGGACGGGGATTCTTTAGTAAAGATAGTGGTTCTGCTTCATGCTTAAAGGGTTCTTTGCATGGTGAAGTGGTTCTTCAGATTAATGGATAGTGTGTTGTAAATTGTTCTGTGTAGAACCTTTTTAAAAATGGTTCTAGAGCCCCCAAAAGTAGTTCTGCTATTGTTACAAGCTTGACATCATAACAATACACTCTTTAAAAGATGGTTCCTCAGGGGTTCTTTAATAAAGATAGTGGTTCTATTTCATGCTTAAAGGGTTCTTTGCATGATGTAAAGGTTCTTCAGATTCATGGACAATGCATTGTAAATGGTTCTGTATAGAAACTTTTTAAAGTGGATCTATATAGCACCAAAGGGGCTCTGCTATTGTTACAAGCTTGATATCGTCATAATATGCCCTTAAAAAGATGGTTCTTCAAGGGTTCTTTAGTACAAGGGAATGGTTTTGTTTAGAACCATGAGTTTCATAGAGAGCCATGAGTTCTATATATAACTATTTGCATGCCTAAATGGTTCTTTGCATGGTGAATCTGTTCTTCAGATGGATGGAGAATGTGTTGTATATGGTTCTATGTAGCACCAAAAAGGGTTCTTCTGTTGTTACAAGCTTGACATTGTCACAACATGTTCTTAAAAAAGATGGTTCTTCAAGGGTTCTTCAGAAATGGGAATAGTTCTAATTAGAAACATGAGTTCTGTATAGAACATTTGCATGCTAAATGATTCTTTGCCTGGTGAAATGGTTCTCCACATCGATGGAGAAAGTGTTGTATATGGTTCTATATTGACCCTTTTTTGAAAATTGTTCTCTGTAGCACCAAAAAGGGTTCTGCTGTTGTTACAAGCTAGACATCGTAAAAATAGAACCCTTTTTGGGGCTATATAGAACCATTTTCAGTCTCAAGAACTATTTCACCCTTTTACTATGCAAAGAACCATTTAAGCGTGAAATGGTTACATATAGAACTCATGGTTCATTCTGTTTACTAAAGAACCCTTGAAGAACCATCTTTTTTTAAAAGTGCCTAAGTAAAAGAACCTTTCCAAGAAAAAGAAATGAGTGAAAAGACAAGCTGAGCATAAAACATCTCAGGCATCATTAAGCTGATTACATTTAATCTCAGTGGACAGTGATGGACAGAATTCACCTAAAGGGCAGATCTGCATTTGTCTTCAGGTCCATTTATAACATTTGTGTGGTTTTTATTTCCCAAAAACATAATTAATTTTCATTTGACCATTTTCCATCATCTCTTCATCCTTAACAGTTACACAGGCGGTTATTGTTACTGTGCCTTTAAGACTGATATGCAAATGAGCTCTGCTCTGATTGGCTGTGCCTCATTCAAAAAGCAGTCCAGGCTAAAGACTCCTCATAACTTCAGCATTGGTGACAGAGCTAAGCTGCTGCAGGCTGAAGAGATGGATATATATGTAAATGTGTTGCCTTTTGTGACATCACAAAAACAGTGAGATGCAAACAGTCTGCTGAGTGGATTGGGGTGTGAATAGTTTTGAAAATGTAACTACTTTTTTTGTTTACAAACCATTTAATCTTGCATAAAACTTAAAGGGCCCATATCATAGAAAACTCTTTTTTTTTAAATAAAAGAGTTTTCTATGATATGGGCCCTTTAAGTTTTATGCAAGTGACCACTGGAGGGCCCCTGTTATTACATTGCAGTGGAACTTCCCTAGTAGGGGTGGGCGATATGGCAACAGTATCACGATACTTTCACCATATTGAGATATTATATAGTTTGAATAATAATGATATCAAAACTGTGCATGCTAATTTGTTATTAAACAGGACTAATTCTGCTCTCTTTGTAATGAAACATGCAGTTATTCAGATAAACATTATCATTTTGCCCACGTTACATCCAAACACAGTGGTTCTTCAAGGGTTCTTTAGTAAAAGCAGTGCTTATAGAACCGAGAAAGGCTTATGTGAAGTTTTTTGCATGGTTGAATATGATGGAAAACCTGTCATATATTAAAGAACCTTTAAAAATAGTTCTATGTAGCACCAAAAGGGCTTTGCTATTGTTGTCATTAAGTCATATTCACTAATATCCTTATTTAGAAGTGAGTGTTTTCATCTGAAAGTGCTCAAAAAAATGTGAATCCAAAATATTATTGAAGTAGATGGAAGTGAGTAAGTGAAGCCAGTTTCTGGATGTGGATGGGTTTGAGAGTGTGTTCCACATTAACCTGGATTTACTGTATGTTTACATGATGCTCTGCAGTTGATGGGATTAATTAGTGTTAGTCAGTGAGGATAAGGAACACTGAACTAATGCGGTTCTGCTGTGCGCATCATTTCATTCTTTCCTTCTTTCCTTCTTTCTTTCTTTCTTTTTTCTCCTTAAAGGGCCCGTATCTGATGTTTTTCCTGTTTTTTTCTGCTCAGGTCCACTTATGACAGTTCTAGGTAACAAAAATGTCACTATATCATTATTTTACATGAATAATGTAAATGAGCTCTGTTCTGATTGGCTGCCTGATTCAAAATACAGTCTTGCCTGAGACACAGCTTATAACTTTACTGTCAGTGGGGGCGCATAAGCTGAACAGGCGGATACACATGTAAATGTCTTTTTTATATCTTTTACTTGTATGGACTGTCTAGACTGTGTAAATCGTACCTCTGGAAACTTTTAACAGTGTTTACATACTTTATAAGTCTCTTTTGTTTAAAAGAAAGTGAGGAAAAGTGAGGAAATTTTAAATTTCCATGACATGTGCCCATTAAAGGGCCCATATCCTGTATATTTCTATTGTTTTTTTTGTTTGTTTGTTTTAAAATTAAACAGGCTGTTTCTGTTACTGTGCCTTTAAGACTGGTATATGTAAATGAGCTCTGTTCTGATTGGCTGCCTCATTCAGAAAGCAGTCTGAGCAGAAACACTCCTTATTATTTCACTGTCAGTGGGCGCGCATAAGCTGAATAGATGGATACAGATGTAAATGTCTTGGGTTTTGTGGCATCACAAAAAAATCTAGACTAGACTGTCTAGACTGTATAAATCATACATTTGAAAACTTTTAACAGTGTTTACATACTTTATAAGTCTCTTTTGTTTAGAAGAAAATGAGGAAAAGTGAGGAAATTTTACATTTCCATGGCACATGCCCTTTAAAGGGCCCATATCCTATATATTTCTGTTGTTTTTGTTTGTTTCTTTGTTTGTTTGTTTGTTCTTTTTTCCCTGAGGTCCACATATGTCTTTTGTCTAGTTTTGATAACAAAAACAGTCATTATTTACTTTACCTGATCTCTCTTTATCCCTTAGAATTAAACCGGCTCTTTCTGTCACTGTGCCTTTAAGACTGATATATGTAAATGAGCTCTGTTCTGATTGGCTGCCTCATTCAAAAAGCAGTCCAGGCTGAAACACTCCTTATAACTTAACTGTCATTGGGCACGCATCATCTGAATAGGTGGGTATACATATAAATGTCTTGGGTTTTGTGACATCACAAAAAAGTGGACTATTTTTGCATCTTTTACATGTATGGACTGTCTAGACTGTATAAATCATACATTTGGAAACTTTTAACAGTGTTTACATACTTTATAAGTCTCTTTTGTTTAGAAGAAAGTGAGGAAAAGTGAGGAAATTTTAAATTTCCATGGCATGTGCCCTTTACAGGGCCCATTAAAGGGCCCATATCCTGTATAATTCAGTGTTTTTTGTTTTCCCTGAGGTCCACATATGACTTCTGTCCAGTTTTGGTAACAAAAACAGTCATTATTCATTTTACCTGATCTCTCTTTATCCCTTAGAATTAAACAGGCAGTTGCTCTATCTTTAAGACTGAAATATGTAAATGAGCTCTGTTCTGATTGGCTGCCTCATGCAAAAAGCAGTCCAGGCTGAAACACTCCGTGTAACTTCACTCTAAATGGCTGGAGTTAAAGCGCTGCAGGCTATACAGGCAGATATATGTAAGATATATGTATGTAAATATGTTGATTTCTGTGACATCACAAAAGAAAGAATTCAAAACGGGCTGTTTTTGTGGCTGAGTTTGTGTGTATGGACTGTGAGTGGTGCGTTTGAAACAGTGTTTACATAATACAGAAAAAAAGAAGTGTTTTCCTTTATAGGGGCCCTTTAAATAGACCTAAGCTTTTGTCTACAAACAGATCTAGATATCCTCTCGGCTCCGTCTGCGTCCGTGTCTGTTTGTGTAATGACGCAGAGAGGGCTGGTATGTGTAAAGTTTGCTGAATAAGCAGTTTGAGGCGATCACAGCCTCGCTCCTCTGCGGTCAGTCTTTTTCCACCCCAGCAGTCCAAGAAGGATACGTCCAACATATAGGGTCCAGCCAAACAACTTCCTTTCTCACGATATGTTAGCGTCTCTAGCTGGAAGGATGTCTTCTGAACTCGTTTTCCTGCGCTTGCTGCTGTTCTTAAAGTGAGCGGCACAGCCCGGGCCTTTCTAGAGCTGCCCATGGCCTACTTTTTGGCCCAGACTTTTAAGCCACATGGGAAATGTCTGTGGTGCCCAAACCCGACGTTCATCCACGGAGGGGAAAGAAAAGAAACTGCGCATTTTTTTCTTGCTTCTTTAAAAAGTTAGAGCTGATTACTGGTAGCCTGGCTGCTTCTGAAGCTGGAGGAACTTTATAGGAACTTTAAGGGTGTTAGAAGTTCACTGGTGTTCCTTC